TTTTGAGACGGGTCTTGCTCTGTCACCCAGGAGTGCACTGAGTGGCACAATCTCGGCTCACTGCAACCTCTGCCTCCTGGGTTCAAGTGATTCTTCTGCCTCAGCCTCCTGAGTAGCTGGGATTACAGGCATGCACCACCATGCCCGGCTAATTTTTATATTTTTAGTAGAGACCAGGTTGCCAGGCTGGTCTTGAACTCCTGACCTTAAGTGATTTACCTGCCTGAACCTCCCAAAGTGCTGGGATTGCAAGTGTGAGCCACCACGCCCAGCTAATTTTTGCATTTTTAGTAGAGACGGAGTTTCACCGTGTTGGCCAGGCTGGTCTCAAACTCCTGGCCTCAAAGTGATCTAGCCACCTCGGCCTTCCAACGTGCTGGGAATACACGTCTGGCCTCCTCTTTTTTTCTACCTCATTTTCCACCCATCCCCTGTAAGTAATTCATCTCTTTAGTACCTGGTGTATCCTTTAGTACCTGGTGTATTTCTTTTGTACAAATGAGCAGAGACACCTCCATATTTTCTTATAGCCCCTTACATTAAGGGCAGCTAACTATACTCTTATGCACTTTGCTTATTTTGGTATAACAATATGTCCTGGAAACATTTCATAGCAATTCTTGGAGCGTGTCCTCATTCTTTTTTACACCATTGTGTGGATGTTATTCAGTCACTCTCCTAAATATGGGCATTTAGGTTGTTTCCCGTATTTTGCAATTACAAAGAGTACTGCCATAAATAACCCTGAGCACATGCATTTTTGTATGACTGGAGGAAGAACTCTTAACATTACACTACACCACACGGTATTTTTAAAACCTTGACTTGGGTGCTAACATTTAAGAATTTGAAGCTATCACTTCAAAATCTGGATTTTCATATCTATCTATATATGCTCCTGGGATATAAAAACCACCGTGTAGAGATGTGTTCTAGGCTGGGCGTGGTGGCTCATGCCTGTAATCCCAGCACTTTGGGAGGCTGAGGTGGGCGGATCATGAGGTCAGGAGTTCAAGACCAGCCTGGCCAACATGGTGAAACCCTGTCTCTACTAAAAATACAAAAATTAGCCAGGCGTGGTGGCATGCACCTGTAATCCCAGTTACTCAGGAGGCTGAGGCAGGAGAATCACTTCAAATGTGGGGCTGGAACCCCCACACAGAGTCCCTACTGGGGCACCACCTAGTGGAGCTATGAAAAGAGGGCCACCGTCCTCCAGACCCCAGAATGGTAGATCCACCGACAGCTTACACTGTGCTCCTAGAAAAGCTGCAGACACTCAATGCCAGCCTGTGAAAGCAGCCAGGAGGGAGGCTGTACCCTGCAAAGCCCCAGGGGCAGAGCTGCACAAGGCAATGGGAACCCACCTCTTGCACCAGCATGACCTGCATGTGAGGCCTGGAGTCAAATGAAATCGTTTTGGAGCTTTAAAATTTGACTGCCCTGCTGGATTTTGGACTCGCATGGGCCCTTTAACCTCTTTGTTTTGGCCAATTTCTCCCATTAGGAATGGTTGTGTTTACCCAATACCTGTATCCCCATTGTATCTAGGAAGTAACTAGCTTGCTTTTCATTTTACAGGCTCATAGTTGAAAGGGTCTTGACTTGTCTCACATGAGACTTTGGACTGTGGATTTTTGGGTTAATGCTTTTGGGGGACTGTTGGGAAGGCATGATTGATTTTGAAATATGAGGGTATGAAATTTGGAGGGGCCAGGGACAGAATGATATGGTTTGGCTCTGTGTCCCACCAAAATCTCATCTTGAATTGTACACCCATAATTCCCACATGTTGTGAGAGGGACCTGAAGGGAGATCAGTTGAATCATGGGGGCAGTTTCCCCCTTACTGTTCTCGTGGTAGTGAATAAGTCTCATGAGACTGATGGCTTTTTTTTTTTTTTTTGAGACGGAGTCTCCCTCTGTCGCCCAGGCTGGAGTGCAGTGGCTGGATCTCAGCTCACTGCAAGCTCCGCCTCCCGGGTTTACGCCATTCTCCTCCTCAGCCTCCTGAGTAGCTGGGACTACAGGCGCCCGCCACCATGGCCAGCTAATTTTTTGTATTTTTTTAGTAGAGATGGGGTTTCACCATGTTAGCCAGGTTGGTCTCGATCTCCTGACCTCGTGATCCGCCCGTCTCAGCCTCCCAAACTACTAAGGTTACAGGCTTGAGCCACCGCGCCCGGCCTGAGACTGATGGTTTTATCAGGGGTTTCCGCTTCTGCTTCTTCCTCATTTTCTCTTGCCACCGCCATGTAAGGGTATGTCTTTATCAGCAGCATGAAAATGGACTAATATAGTAAGTTGGTACCAGTAGAGTGGGGTGTTGCTGAAAAGATACCTGAAAATGTGAAAGCAACTTTGGAACTGGGTAACAGACAGAGGTCGGAACAGTTTAGAGGGCTCAGAAGGAGAGAGGAAAATGTGGGAAAATTTGGAACTTCCTAGAGACTCGGTTGAATGACTTTGACAAAAATACTGATGATGATATGGACAATGAAATCCAGGCAGAGGTGCTCTCAGGTGGAGATGAGGAACATGTTGGGAACTGGAGCAAAGGTGACTCTTGTTAGCTTTTAGCAAAGAAACTGGTGGCATTTTGCCCCTGCCCTAGAGATTATTGGAACTTTGAACTTGAGAGAGATGATTTAGGGTATCTGGTGGAAGAAGTTTCTAAGCAGCAAAGCATTCAACATGTGCTATTAAAGGCATTCAATTCTAAAAGGGAAGGAGAGCATGAAAGTTCAGAAAATTTGCAGCCTGATGATGGGATAGAAAATAAAATCCCATTTTCTGAGGAGAAATTCAAACTGGCTGCAGATATTTGCATAAGTAATGAGGAGCTCAATGTTAATCCCCAAGACAGTGGGGAAAATATCTCCAGGGCATGTCAGAGACCTTTGTGGCAGCCCCTGTCATCACAGACCCAGAGGTCTAGGAGGAAAAAATGGTTTCATGGGCAGGGCCCAGGGTCCCTGTGCTGTGTGCAGTCTAGGGACTTGGTGTCCTGCATCCTAGCCACTCCAGCTGTGGCTGTCAGGGGCCAACATAGAGCTCGGGCCGTGGCTTCAGAGGGTGCAAGCCCCAAGCCTTGGCAGCTTCCACGTGGTTTTGAGCCTGCAGGTGCGCAGAAGTCAAGAATTGGGGTTTGGGAACCTCCGCCTAGATTTCAGGAGTAGTTTTCATGCTGTTGATAAAGACATACCTGAGACTGGGAAGAAAAAGAGGTTTAATTGGACTTACAGTTCCACATGGCTGGGGAGGCCTCAGAATCATGGCAGAGGTGAAAGGCATTTCTTTTTTCTTTTTTTTTTTTGAGACAGAATCTTGCTTTGTTGCTAAGCTGGAATGCAGTGGCGTGATCTTGGCTCACAGCAACCTCTGTCTCCCTGGTTCAAGCAATTCTCCTGCCTCAGTCTCCCAAATAGCTGGGACTACAGGTGCACGCCACCATGCCCAGCCAATTTTTGTATTTTCAATAGAGATGGGGTTTCACCATGTTGGCCAGAATGGTCTCGATCTCCTGACCTCGTGATCCGCCCGCCTCGGCCTCCCAAAGTGCTGGGTTTACAGGCATGAGCCAATACACCCAGCTGGTGAAAAGCATTTCTTACATGGCTGTGGCAAGAGAAAATGAGGAAGAAGTAAAAGTGGAAACCCCTGATAAACTCATCAGATCTCGTGAGACTTATTCACTACCATGAGAGCAGTATGGGGAAAACTGCCCCCTTGACTCAAACAATCTCCCACTGGTCCCTCCCACAACACATAGGAATTATGGGAGTACAATTCAAGATGAGATTTGGGCGGGGACACAAAGCCAAACCATCTCACGGAGGTTGCAGTGAGCCGAGATTGTGCCATCACACTCCAGCCTGGGCAACAGAGCAAGACTCCTCCTCAAAAAAAAAAAAAAAAAAATTAACTGGGCATGGTGGCATGTGCCTGTGGTCCCAGCTTCTTGGGAGGCTGAGGCAGGAGGATAGCTTGAGCCCAGGAGGCCAAGGCTGCAGTAAGCAAAGATGGCACCACTGCACCTCCAGCCTGGGCAACATAGTGAGACCCTATCTCCGAGAAAAAAGAAAAGTCAATAGCTTTGCTAGTACTGGGCCCGTTTCCTGCTTGCTTGGTGGCTATCGCCAGATCTGAGTGATGGCTGCCCCTTTGAGATAGGGCAGGGTCTACAGTTGGCTACATGCTCTGTAACTCCTTGCTCACTTACAGGTGGCCCTTGTCTCCCTTTAGATCACCTGTGGCCTCCAGACACCCAAGCTGGCAACCTTTAAATGACATCATGTGTGTACAATAGTTGGTACAAGACCTGCACACAGTAAATAATGATATTAATAATAATACTCGTTCCCCCATATAACCCTAAGTGTACTAGGCACTATTTCATTTGCTTTACTTATATTTATTCATCTAAGCCTCATAACAACCATATAGCGCAGAAACTATTATTTTTCCATTTTACAGACAGGAAAACTGAGGCTCAGAGAGGTGAAGTGATGTGACCCAGGGAAGCTCAGCTTAGAAATGGCAGAGCTGGATCATGCCTGTAATCCCAGAACTTTGGGAGGCGAAGGTGGGTGGATCACCTGAGGTCAGGAGTTCAAGACCAGTCTGGCCAACATGGCAAAACTACATCTCTACTAAAAATGCAAAAATTAGCTAGGCATGGTGGCACATGCTTGTAATCCTAGCTACTCGGGAGGCTGAGGCAGGAGAATCGCTTGAACCTGGGAGGCGGCACAGGTTGCAGTAAGCTGAGATGGCACCACTGTACTCCAGCCTGGGCAGCAGAGTGAGACCCCGACTCAAAAAAAAAAAAAAAAAGAAGAAGAATAAATGGCAGAGCTGGGATTGAACTTGGGCAGTTCCAGAACCTGTCTCCTTAACTACTAACTGTCATCAGTGGTCAAGCCCCTCACTTTTTCTGCACATCCCTACCACCCTGCCCAGGCCTCACTCCTGGTCTATCCTCTGTCCCTTTCTCCCCAGGTGAGCCAGGCTCCATGACTGTAACCTGGACCACATGGGTCCCAACCCGCTCTGAAGTGCAATTCGGGTTGCAGCCGTCGGGGCCTCTGCCCCTCCGTGCCCAAGGCACCTTCGTCCCCTTTGTGGACGGGGGCATTCTCCGGCGGAAGCTCTACATACACCGAGTCACGCTTCGCAAGCTGCTGCCAGGGGTTCAGTATGGTGAGAGGGCCCCCAGGTTGGGCCCTTGAGGGGGAAAGGGAAGAGGAGTGGGATACAGACTAGAAGCTACCACTGGCCGGTGGCTCAGGCCGGGCTGGTAACTCCTCTGCCTATCTGCAAGCCTATTGTATGAGACCCCAGGATGAAAACGGAAGGTGTGGGGAAGACAGATCGAAGGGGCATGGGCCAGCCCCAACCAGTCCCCCCATCTCCTCCCCTCCACCAGTTGGGGAAGGATGGGGTTGGAGGGAGCGTCCTGGGGCGGCCCAGCTGACTGCGACATTTTCCTCTCCCTTCAGTTTATCGCTGTGGCAGTGCGCAAGGCTGGAGCCGTCGGTTCCGCTTCAGGGCCCTCAAGAATGGGGCCCACTGGAGTCCCCGCCTGGCTGTGTTTGGGGACCTGGGGGCTGACAACCCTAAGGCCTTACCGCGGCTGCGCAGGGACACCCAGCAGGGCATGTACGACGCCGTTCTCCATGTGGGTGAGGCATCCGCAGGGGCGAGCGGAAGGATGGTGGTCAGCGCGCACGTGGAGGGATGGTGTGGGGAGCGCGGGTGGGGGGCGGTGCCAGGACCGTGGAGGGGACAGGGCTGGGGCCAGTGTGTCTCTGAAGGGACAGGGGATGAGACTGGCTACGGAGATGGTGTCTGTGGCCAACCAGCCTGCCTTGGTTAATATCCCAACTCTGGCACTCTTGCCAGGAGCAGGGGTTTTTCCCCCGTGTATTTTGATTAGAGAGAAAGCTGGTTCCGAGTTCGCAGGACTGTTATGATGACTACGTGAGTTCGCGTTGCCTGGCAGGGTGCAGGTGCACTTCGGTGTCCTTGTGCTGTTTTTATTATTATTGCTGCTGTTATTTAAGAGGGGGAAGAGAATGAGATGGGTAATGGGGATTGGGGATTGCATGTTTCAAAGTGCAGGCGCTGGAATCAGGCTCCCTAGGTTTTATTTCTATATCTTCACTAGCCAGCTGTGTGACCTGGGTCCTCAGTTTCCCCATCTGAAATAGGAATAATAATAATACTAATGTTGGGCCGGGCGCGGTGGCTCATGCCTGTAATTCCAGCACTTTGAGAGGCCAAGGTAGGTGGATCACTTGAGGTCAGGAGTTCGAGACCAGCCTGGCCAACATGGTGAAACTCCATCTCTACTAAAACTACAAAAATTAGCCAGGTGTGGTGGCATGTGTCTGTAATCTCAGTTACTTGGGAGGCTGAGGCAGGAGAATCACTTGAACCTGGGAGGCAGAGGTTGCAGTGAGCCAAGATGGCACCACTGCACACCAGTCTGGGCAGCAGAGGGAGACTCCGTCTCACAAAAAAAAAAAACAAACAAACAAAGAAAACAAAAACAAACAAACAAAAACCATCTTGGCCAGGCACAGTGGCTCACACCTGTGATTCCAGCACTTTGGGAGGCTGGTTTTGAATTCCTAGGCTCAAGTGATACTCCTGCCTTGGCCCCCTAAAGTGCTGGGACTAACCTGGCTCTCTCAATTCCAATGAAAGCAGAGCTGGGCCTGGGTCCTCACCCTCCTTCCACCCCCTCCCCCAGGAGACTTTGCCTACAACATGGATCAGGACAATGCCCGCGTCGGGGATAGGTTTATGCGGCTCATTGAACCCGTGGCTGCCAGCCTGCCGTACATGACATGCCCCGGGAACCATGAAGAACGCTAGTGAGGACCGAGGGCTGTGGCGGTGGGCAAGGGCTGGATCAATGGAAATGGTCTCGTTCTTCTTAGTGTCTCCCTTGAGTCTCTCATGCTGCAACATTTCAATTGTAGCAAGAGGAGATGGGGGTGGGCTGGAAGCCAGACTCAGGGCCCGACAGTGGCAGGGTATAGGAGTAGGGCTATGATATTCAGTCCCTCACCTCTATCCCTTGTACTTCCTTTATTCTAGCAACTTCTCTAACTACAAGGCTCGCTTCAGCATGCCAGGGGATAATGAGGGCCTGTGGTACAGGTAATGTGCAGGTGCCGGGGGACTGGCCCTCTCCCCTGAAAGATGGGAGATGCAGAGGAGCCCCGGTCCCTGACCCCTGCCCTTTGACTCCTCCAGCTGGGATCTGGGTCCCGCCCACATCATCTCCTTCTCCACCGAGGTCTATTTCTTTCTCCATTACGGCCGCCACCTGGTACAGAGGCAGTTTCGCTGGCTGGAGAGCGACCTCCAGGTAACCTGGGTGGAGGCCCCCTGTAGTCCCCTGGCCGGCCCCACCTCCCCTTCCACCCCCCACTCCTAGCCCCTCACCCTGGGCCCTTCTCCCTAGAAAGCCAATAAGAACCGGGCAGCCCGGCCGTGGATCATCACCATGGGGCACCGGCCCATGTACTGCTCCAACGCAGATCTGGACGACTGCACACGACATGAAAGCAAGGTGAGGCCCCTCCCTGGGAGACGGTGGGGAGGTGCCGAGAGCCAGGTGCGCGTCGGTCTGCGTCACCCTCACCCACTCATTCACCCTGCCCAGGTCCGCAAAGGCCTCCAAGGCAAGCTGTATGGTTTGGAGGATCTTTTCTACAAATACGGTGAGCAACCCTTGGGACCCATGCCCCACACCCCACCTCTGCCTGATTCAGAGGTCTGATCCCCGCTTGCTCTGTCTCAGGAGTGGATCTGCAGCTGTGGGCTCATGAGCACTCGTATGAACGACTGTGGCCAATTTACAACTACCAGGTGAGGCACGTGGAGGGCTGGGCGCCCACGCAGCTGGGGTCAGGGCAGTCAGATGTCCCCAGAATGGCCTCGTATGACTGCCCGCCACCCAACGTTGTTCCCTTCCCCAGGTATTTAACGGCAGCGGAGAGATGCCCTACACGAACCCGCGAGGACCTGTCCACATCATCACAGGATCTGCCGTGAGCAGGGGGACGGGTGCCTTTGCCTTCTCTCTCTCTTCCTATCCATGGAGGGCTGACTTCGTTCCAGCCTGAGTGCTGGGTGCTTTATACAGTGGATATCACTTAACCCTCAGCCCTAAGGTCAGAAACTCCTAGCAGCATGCCCATTGGATAGATCCAGGAACAGAGCACAGACAGGAAGATACTACAGTGAGTTATGATCACTGTACTGTACTGTAGCCTAGGTGACAAAGCCAGATCCCGTCTCTAAACAAACAAAACAAAACAAAACAACTATCTTTTTTTTTTTTTTTTTGAGACGGAGTCTCGCTCTGTTGTCCAGGCTGGAGTGCAGTGGCATGATCTCAGCTCACTGCAAACTCCGCCTCCTGGTTCAAGAGATTTCTGGCTAATTTTTGTACTTTTGGTAGAGATGGGATTTCACCATGTTGGCCAGGCTGGTCTCAAACTCCTGACCTCAAGTGATCTGCCTGCCTCAGCCTCCCGAAGTGCTAGGATTACAGGTGTGCTTGGCCCAAATGTCCCGTTTCTCCTCAAACTTTCACCCTCTTATTTTAGAACCCATTAGCGGCCCCTGCCTGCAACAGTTATTACTAAACTGTTCTAATGAGAACCTTTCCTCCCTCCCTCCCTCCCTCCCTCCCTCCCTCCCTCCCTCCCTTCCTTCCTTCTTTCCTTCCTTTTTTGAGACGGAGTTTCACTCTTGTTGCCCAGGTTGGAGCGCAGTGGCGCGATCTCGGCTCACTGCAACCTCCACGTCCCGGGATCAAGCCATTGTCCTGCCTCAGCCTCTCGAGTACTTGGGATTATAAATGCCCACCCCCATGCCCGGTTAAGTTTTGTATTTTTAGTAGAGATGTGGTTTCACCACGTTGGCGAGGCTGGTCTCGAACTCCTGACCTCAGGTGATCGGCCCACCTTGGCTTCCCAAAGTGCTGGGATTACAGGCGAGAGCCACTGCGCCCAGTCTTACTGTGCCGTTCTAATGGGGATTTTCTGTCGCCCTCACTCTTCCAAGATTTATTAATTGAGATCCTCCTGCAAGGCTGACTTGTGTCTTCTGCCACATTTGTTTAGTTGGTTAATTGTTTATTTATGTCTGTGTGAACTCATGGGTAATTTATTTTACTCTGCGGGTTATTATCCAACACGACTGTTATTTATCTGGATGTTTAGGTTGTGCCGGCTGCGGCCATCAGTGGGCTCCTGTCTCCTTTCCACTCGTCCCCTCCTTATTCTCTGGCACTTCAAAATATTCCAAGATCATCCTTGGAATAGGATCATCCTTGGAATAGAAAAAACAAGGATCATCCTTGTTTTTTCTGCTCAGGCTTGGAATCTACCCCTTCTCCATGGAGCGAGGCTTAGTTTTTAATTTTTTAATTTAATTTAAAAAAGTTTGGCCACACACAGTGGCTCATGCCTGTAATCCCAACACTTTGCGGGGCCGAGGCGGGCAGGTTGCTTGAGGTCAGGAATTCGAGACCAGTCTGGGCAACATGGTGAAACCCCGTCTCTATTAAAAAAAAAATACAAAATTTAGCCATGCTTGGCGGTGCACACCTGTAGTCCCAGCTACTTGGGAGGCCAAAGTGGGAGGATTGTTTGAGCCCGAGAAGTTGAAGCTGCAGTGAGCTGAGATTGTGCTACTGCACTCTAGCCTGGGGACAGAGCGAGACCCCATCTCAAAAACAAAAATGTTTTTAATAGAGACAGTCTCACTATGTTGCCCAGGCTGATCTCGAATTCCTGGGCTTAAGCAATTCCCCCGCTTGGCCTTCCAAAGCTGCTGCTTATAAATGATTAAGAGCAAAGTGAGGCAGGGTGCGGTGGCTCACGCCTGTAATCCCAGCACTTTGGGAGGCTGAGATGGGTGGATCGCTTGAGTCTAGGAGTTTGAGACCAGCCTGGGCAACATGACAAAACCAATTATTATTATTTTTTATATATATATGTATATATATAAAAGTAACAATCACTTGTAATAAAAATTCAAACAGTTACAGAGAGCAGGAGGTGAACAGCAGCCACTCACACCGCACATTGCCCCACTCTCAGCTGCTGACTCTCTTGAGGCATTTTATAATGTTCTCTGCATATACAAATGAGTAATTGTTTAGATAGAGACATGTTACTGTATTGCTTACTTTAAAAAACAAAAACAAAAACCACTTAGATTGTGGGTCATGCCCCAGTGGTTCTCAAACTTGGTGCACATCAGAATTACCTAGGGAGCTTTTAAAACTGCAATGCTTGGTCCTGACCCTGGTCAAAATACCAGAATCCCTGGCATTGATCTCCCAGAGTAGCTGCCACGTGGAGCACAAAATAGAATGCTGTCAGCACCAGATGGCTTCTCACGGCCCTTGGCAGTCAGGCTCTGCCCATGGGTGACTGCTATTCTGATTTTATCAGCACAAATTGGTTTTTTTCTTTAATTAAAAAATTTGAGGCCGGGCGCGGTGGCTCACGCCTGTAATCCCAACACTTTGGGAAGCTGAGGCGGGCGGATCACCTGAGGTCAGGAGTTTGAGACCAGCCTGCCCAACATGGCGAAACCCTGTCTCTACTAAAACCAAAAAATTAGCTGGGTGTGGTGGCGGGCACCTGTAATCCCAGCTACTCAGGAGGCTGAAGCAGGAGAATCGCTTGAACCCAGAAGGCAGAGGTTGCAGTGAGCCAAGATCACGCCATTGTACTCCAGCCTGGGTGACAAGAGTGCAACTCTGTCTCAAAAATAAAAAATTTAAAAAAAAATTGAAATTATTTCAGACCAACAGTAAAGTTGCACTAACAATACAAAGACTTTCCATATCCACTTCACCAAGATTTCCTAAATATGAACATTTAACCACTTTTTTTTTTTTTTTTTTTAAGATGGAGTTTCACTCTTGTTGCCCAGGCTGGAGTGCAATTGACGTGATCTCTGCTCACTGCAACCTCCGCCTCCTGGGTTCAAGTGATTCTCCCGCCTCAGCCTCCTGAGTAGCTGGGACTACAGGCCTGTGCCACCACACCCGGCTAATTATTGTATTTTTAGTAGAGATAGGGTTTCACCATGTTGGCCAGGCTGGTCTTGAACTCCTGACCTCATGATCTGCCCGCCTCGGCCTCCCAAAGTGCTGGGATTACAGGCATGAGCCACCGCACCTGGTTGCACGATGTCTTTTTAACCTCTTTTTTTTTTTTTTTTTTTTTTTTGAGACGGAGTCTCGCTGTGCCGCCCAGGCTGGAGTGCAGTGGCCGGATCTCAGCTCACTGCAAGCTCCGACTCCCGGGTTCACGCCATTCTCCTGCCTCAGCCTCCCGAGTAGTTGGGACTACAGGCGCCCGCCACCGCGCCCGGCTAGTTTTTTGTATTTTTTAGTAGAGATGGGGTTTCACCGTGTTAGCCAGGATGGTCTCGATCTCCTGACCTCGTGATCCGCCCGTCTCGGCCTCCCAAAGTGCTGGGATTACAGGCTTGAGCCACCGCGCCCGGCCTTTTTAACCTCTTTGAGCCTCTGATTTCTCAGCTGAAAGTGTGGTATGGATGGGTCTCATTACTGATGATACTCACTTTGATCACTTGGTTAGGGAGGTGTCTGCCAGCCCTCTCCACCATAAAGTGACTCTCTTTTTTCCTATGTAATTAACAAGCATCTCCTGGAGAGATACTTTGAGACTATGCAAACGTCCTGTTATGCCTCAAACTTTCCCTGCTTAGTTTTATCATCCATTCATGATCCTTGCTTCAATCTGGTATTACAATGCTGGGTGCAAAATAGTGATTTTCCTCGCTCTGGCATCCTCTCTGCTCCTCAAGCCTGGCTTTTCTGCGGCAAGCACGAGCATTCTGTTTCCCCAGGCGTTGGTGTTTTAAAAAGCTTTCTTGGAGGGTCTACTGTGCAGCCAGGCTTCAGATCCAGTGATTTCTCTGTTCTTCGAATTGCTTTTTCCCCTTCACACACATCTTGGCCATCTTTCTGTCTCACCCCGCTTCCCTGCTTTGCGATGGCTATGCTATAATGTATTTAACTGACTCCCTGATGGGTGTTGGGATGGCTTCCGGTTCAGAGCTTTCACTGTAATGCTATAGTGGGCAGAGTCTTACACAGCTGTGTAGTTTTCTAGAAGTCAGAGACCTGGAGTAGGGAAGCCTGCCCAGGACAAAATGTTCAATTGCAAAGCATTATTGTGGCCAAGTCTTTTTGTTTTTGTTTTTGTTTGAGACAGTCTCACTCTGTTGCCCAGGCTGGAGTGCAGTGGCATGATCTTGGCTCACTGCAACCTCCGCCTCCCGGGTTCAAGCAATTGTCCTGCCTCAGCTTCCCAACTAGATGGGACTATAGTCGTCTGCCACTACACCGGGCTAATTTTTGTATTTTTAGTAGAGACAGGGTTTCACCATGTTGGCCAGGCAGGTCTCTGACTCCCAACCTCAATTGATCTGTCGTTCTTGGCCTCCCAAAGTGCTGGGATTATAGGCGTGAGCCACCGGGCCTGGTCTCTATGGCCAAGTCTGAACTGTCTTCCTTGAGGGCAGCAGGGTCCTGGGCTGGCAGGTCATTTCTGCTTCCCTGTGGGTCCTACACCTGCCCTGGGTCTGACCAGTTCTCCCTTCCCAGGGTTGTGAGGAGCGGCTGACGCCCTTTGCTGTCTTCCCGAGGCCCTGGAGTGCCGTGCGTGTGAAGGAGTACGGGTACACCCGGCTGCACATCCTCAACGGGACCCACATCCACATCCAGCAGGTGTCGGATGACCAGGTCAGTGAGGGGCAGGCCCGACTCATCTGACTGCACAGCCAGGCCCTGCCAGGCAAATGAGTTGTTAAAAACATGGACTCGGCCGGGCACAGTGGCTCATGCCTGCAATACCTGCAAGTTGGTGGGGCTAAGGCACGAGGATTGCTTGAGTCCAGGAGTTCAAGACCAGCCTGGGTAACATGGTGAGACCTAGTCTCTACAAAAAATACAAAAATTAGGCCAGGTGTGCTGGTTCACACCTGAAATCCTAGCACTTTGGGAGGCCGAGGCAGACAGATCACTTGAGGTCAGGAGTTAGAGACCAGCCTGACCAACATGGTGAAACCCTGTCTCTACTAAAAATACAAAAATTAGCTCCCCGTGGTGGCAGGTGCCTGTAATCCTAGCTACATGGGAGGCTGAGGCAGGAGAATCACTTAAATCTGGGAGGCGGAGGTTGCGGTGAGCCGAGATGGCGCCACTGCACTCCAGCTTGGGAGACAGAATGAGACTCTATCTTGGGAAAAAAAAAACAAAAACGAAAATTAGCCAAGTGTGGTGGCAGAAGTCTGTAGTCCCAACTACTTGGGAGGCTGAGGCAGAGGATCACTTGAGCCTAGGAGTTAGAGTTTGCAGTGAGCTATGATCTCGCCTCTGTACTCCAGCCTGGGCAACACAGTGAGACCCTAACTCAAAACAAAAAAACAAACAAATGTGGACTGTAGAACTAGAAACCTGCTCCTGCTACTTACCAGCTGAATGACCTTGAGCCACTCATCTAACTTTTTTTTTTTTGAGACGGAGTCTCGCTCTGTCGCCCAGGCTGGAGTGTAGTGGCGCGATCTCTGCTCCCTGCAACCTCCACCTCCCAGGTTCAGGAAATTCTCCTACCTTAGCCTCCCAGATAACTGGGATCACAGGTGCCCAACACCACACCTGGCTAATTTTTCATATTTTTAGTAGAGACGGGGTTTCACCATGTTGGCCAGAATGGTCTCGAACTCCTGACATCAAGTGATCTGCCCACCTCGGCCTCCCAAAGTCCTGGGATTACAGGCATGAGCCACCATGCTGGGCCCACTTATCTAACTTCTTTGAGCCTCAGTTTTCCCGTCTGTGAGAGGGGATGATCATAGTTTCCACCTCACAGGACTACGTGGGGGTTGAAGGACTTATTATATATAAAATGCTTAGAATAGTGCAGAACTTGGTAAATTTTGTAGGTGTTTCCCATTGTGAGGCAGGGGAAGATAAAGATGGCAGGGTGGCACACAGGTGGGGGGAAATAATAAGATGGGTATGTGGTAGGGCTGGCTGAAGGTTAGGTGGACCCAAATAATAATGGCTCACCTTTCTTTATTTTTGCCATTGTAGTTTTTAAAAAATGATAATATTTATGATTTATTGAGCACCTACTGCATACCAGGCACTGCCTAGATGCTCTGTATTTAGTAGCATTTAATTTAATTAATTTATTTATTTTTGAGACAGAGTCTCACTCTGTTGCACAAGCTAGAGTGCAGTGGTGCAATCTAAGCTCGCTGCAACTTCCACCTCCCAGGTTCAAGCAGTTCTCCTGCCTCAGCCTCCCGAGTAGCTGGGATTACAGGCACATGCCACCACACCTGGCTAATTTTTTGTATTTTTAGTAGAGACAGGGTTTCGCCATGTTAGCCAGGCTGGTCTTGAACTCCTGACCTTAGGTGATCCGCCCGCCTCGGCCTTCCAAAGTGCTGGGATTACAGGTGTGAGCCACCGCATCCGGCTCCAGTAGCACTTTATACACCAAAACAATCTCATAGGAGTGGATTTCCTCTCATTTTATAGGTGAGGGAACTGAGGCTCAGAGAGGGAAAGTAATTTTCCCAGGGTCACACAGCTGGAGGACAGCCGAGCTGGGATCCCATAGCTACCATTTATCAAGTGGCGCATGCACCGGGCGCAGACTCTGTGTGCATGATCTCACTCGGTTCTTGCCATGACTCTGGGCATCTATTACTTTGTGCATCGCATATGCTCAGAGATTCCAGCCACATGCTTAAGGCCACGTAGAGGATGGATGTGCTGGCCAGGCGCAGTGGCTGATGCCTGTAATCCTAGCACTTTAGGAGGCTGAGGCAGGTGGATCACTTGAGGTCAGGAGTTCAAGACCAGCCTGGCCAACATGGTGAAACCTTGTCTCTAGTAAAAAATACAAAAATTAGCCAGGCGTAGTGGTGCGTGCCTGTAATCCCAGCTGGTCGGGAGGCTGGGGCAGGAGAATGGCTTGAACCTGGGAAGCAGAGGTTTGGCAGTGAATCAAGATCGTGCCACTGCACTCCAGCCTGGGTGACACCGCAAGACTCTGTCTCAAAAAAAAAAAAAAAAAAAAGAGAGAGAGAGGGAAAGAGTGGATGTGCTGGAATATAAAGTAAGGTCTGTCTCACTCCAGAGTTTGTGCTCTAAGAATAGCCTCCACTTACATAGCCCTTTCCATATGCTGGGCTCTGTTTACACATACTATCTCATTTAACTCCCACAACATCTATGATGTGGGTACTGTTACTCTCCCCACCACTTTTCAGATGAGGAAAACTGAGGCCCAGAGAGGTCTAGCCACTTGCTCGGGGTTGTACAGCCCATCAGAGGGCAAAGAGGGGATTGGAACCCAGGCCATCTGGCCCCAGAGTTCAAGCTTTCAGCTCTAACTACTGTCCCTGTTTTTGTCCCTCACAGGATGGGAAGATCGTAGATGATGTCTGGGTGGTGAGACCCCTGTTTGGCCGGAGGATGTATCTCTAGGGATGGGGGCAGCTCTCCTCCAGAAGCCTACGTTTTGCTGCCTTGGCTGCTGTGACCAGAAACTGCCCAGGCCTGGGTGGGGATTTGGGTGGGCCCTGACTCCCCTGCCCTCCAGAGGCCCCATGTAGGGTGCATGCAGCCCTATGGAGCTGGGGCAGCTGTTCCCTCCTGGAGAGGTGGGAGTCCTGGCTGGCTGTGGAGGGAGGGCAGGTGTGCGGGCACAGAGTGACACAGAGCAGGTCTCTGCTGGCAGGGCACCACCCTCCTGCATAGCTCTGATCGGGCGAGGTGCCCACAGGGCTTCAGGCATCAAGGGGCTTAAGCCGTGGCTCCATGGACTCTGCGCATCTTCCGGGGATACCCCTGGGCTGCCTCCTGTCCTGCCCACTGGGCAAGGGCATCACCAGCCTTCCGTCAGCAAGGTGGCCACAACTGTCATGATACTACTCACCAGCAGGTGGTGTCGGGGACTTTTTCTTCTGAGCGCGGCATTGAGAGTTGGTCTGAAGCCTGGCTCCCGCTTCACTGCTCCAGGACTGCTACGGAGAGTCCCTTCGTGCCTCAGTTTCCCAGCCTGGCACCGTCTTATCCGGGAAGAGGAGACGTGTTAACACTCTTGCCTCCCAGCTAGGACAGATGATGAACCACGAGAGCCCACAGACTTGCCAGTTCGTGCCCCCTTTCCTTCCTTTCTTTCCTGTCTTTTATTTATTGAATCATAATTTATCCAGCATCTACCATGTGCCAGGCTCTGTTCTCAGAGCTGGAGAGACAGCCATTTACAAGACAGCCATTTACAAGACAGCCCTCACAGAGCTGACACCCTAACCAGAGAGTTGGACAAAAACCGCGATAAATGAGTTGGTTAAATGGCGATTTGTGCATAGAAAATGCAGGGACAGTGAAGGAGTGGTTGCAGTTTTCAGGGGGATCTCACTGAGAGGGCAACATTTGATCCGAAGGAGGTGGGGAGGGAGCCAAGTGGGCAGACATCTGGGGAAAGAGCGTTCCAGGCAGAGGAATAGCCAGTGCAAAGGCCCTGAGACAGAAATGTGCCTGGCTGGCCGGGTACAGTAACTCACATCTGTAGTCCCAGCACTTTGGGAGGCTGAGGCGGGCGGATCACTCGAGCCCAGGAGTTTGAGACCAGCCTGGCTGACACGGCGAAACCCTGTCTCTACCAAAAATACGAAAATTAGCTGGGCGTGGTGGTGTGTGCCTGGAGTCCCAGCTGCCCAGAAGGCTGAGGTGGGAGGATGGCTTGAGCCCAGGAGGTTGAGGCTGCAGTGAGACACGATTGCGCCACTGCACCCCAGCCTGGGCAACAGAGCAAGACCCTGTCTCAAAAAATATATGTAAATAAAAAAGTTTTAAAAAGAGAAAAATAAAACAAGGAAACGTGCGTGCCCTGTTGGAGTGTCCACGAGGAGGCCACTGTGGCTGGAGCAGGGAGAAGTGAGAGGGAGACCGAGCTTGAGGATAGGGCAATGGTGGGGACGGCTTTTACGGGGCCTTACAGGCCACGGTGAGGACTTTGGGTGGAGCCAGAGGAGGCTCTGAGCAGGTGAAGGAAGTGGTCGGACTCCACGAATCACAGGTAAAGGCCCCAGGGCTGACGGCTGCACTGGGACCTGCGGGCTCCCAGCCCTGCCGGATGACCTGAGATCTATCTATTCCCCCATCACGGGCGTGGTTTCTGCCTCCGCAGATTTTATTCCCTCCCACCCACCCCTCACTTGGCCCAAGGCATGCAGGACTCCTAGCCGTTCCTGGAACACAGCCAGCTCTTTCTCACTGCGGGGCCTGGGTGCTGGCTTTCTGCCCCCTGTGTGCCCTCTCCCCAGCTCATCCCAGGCTGGCACCTTCTCAACCTCAGGTCTCAACCTCGGTGTCCCCTCCTCAGAGGCCTTCTCTGCCGACCCCAGCAAAAATATCCTCTGTTGCTGCCTGCCCCTTCCCCATTTTACTTCCATCTGTAATTCTCTCCTTGATTGGTTAACTTGTTCATTGGCTGTCTACACCCAGAAGGCTAAGTCTGTGAGGGTGGTGACCCTGAGTTCGACACCTCTGCCAAATCCTCCCAGGCCCCTACTCAGGCTGGGCTGGGGACTCTGGGCTCCCCTGCAGTTCCAGTCCTGCCCATTCTAGGCCATCACTGTCTGGAGATAGGTCTCTCTGACTCCCCCACTGGACTTCAACCTCAGAAGGACGGGGCCCAGAGCTGCATCCCAGCATTGCCCAGCACAAGATAGATGCTTAATAAATATTGATTGCCTTAATGAAGGCCACTACATGCCAGGCTCCGGCCAGGCAATGCCAGGGACAGTGATGAATCGGCTACAGTCATGCCCTCTGGGAGCTCGCAGGCAGCCAGGGAAACACAGTTTACTCAACACAGGTGATGAGCAGTGAGAGAATCCCGTGGCGGGCCGGGCCAAGACCGTGAGGTCACAAGCTGGACAGTCATGGAGTGCTGTGGCCACTGACTGAACTGGTGCCCTGTGTGGGCCTGGCATGCCCTGTCCCGGGCTGGGTGAGGCTATGGACATGCTGGGAGGTGGCAACCTCCACAGAGGGCAGAGGTTGGACACTGGTGTCAAACAGAAACTGGTTCAAATCCCAGCTCTGCCAATTCCTGTGTGACCATGGGCAAGTCGGCAACCCTCTCTGAATCTGTTTCTTCATCTGTAACCCAAGAATGATAATATTCTGTGAGGCTGCCTTGGGGTTAAATGAGATTGAAAGCCTTGGGATCTATCTTGATTCCTCTTTTTCTCATGCTCCACATCCAAGTGTCTAGAAAATCCTGTTTGCCTTGCCTTCGAAATGGATCTAAACTCCTTTTTTTTTTTGACAAGGAGTTTCACTCTTGTTGCTCAGGCTGGAGTGCAGTGGTGTGAGCTCACTGCAACCTCTGCCTTCCAGGTTCAAGCACTTCTCCTGACTCAGCCTCCCAAGTAGCTGGGATTACAGGAGCGTGCCATCACTCCTGGCTAATTTTTTTTTTTTTTTTGAGACGGAGTCTCGCTCTGTCACCCAGGCTGGAGTGCAGTGGTGCAATCTTGGCTCACTGCAAGCTCCGCCTCCCGGGTTCATGCCATTCTTCTGCCTCAACTCCTGGCTAATTTTTGTATTTTTAGTAAAGACGGGGTTTTACTGTCTTGGCCAGGCTGATCTCGGACTCCTGACCTCAGGTGATCCGCCTGCCCTGGTCTCTCAAAGTGCTAGAATTACAGGCGTGAACCACCATGCCTGGGTCAATCTAGACTCTCTACACTTTTGCCACCCCAAAGCTCCCACCCTGGTCCTGTCTACACTCATTTCCTACAGACTCCTTGGATTCCCTGCTCCCTCCTTGTCCCTGGAGTCTGTTCCCCACACACAACCAAAGGCACCTGTGAACACCTGCATCAGATCACATCCGCCCCGGCTCACAGATCTCCCATGGTTCCGTCTCAGGTCCACAAGGCACCAGACGATTTTACCCTGTCACCCCTCTGTCCTCATCCCCTTCAATCACCCCCCTCGCCCACTCTGCTGCAGCCACACTGGCCTCTGCATTGGACTCACTGCCCACTTTTGCACTGGCAGGTCCCTCTGCCGGGGACACGGTTCCCCCAGGGATCTGTATGACTCCCTTTCTCCCCTCCCTCAGGTCCTTACTCAGTGCCACCCTCTCTGACCCTCTTGTTTAAAATAGCTCCACCTAACCCAAGGTCATCGAGTTCAGTGAAATAAGCCAGGCACAGAAAGACAAACCTCGCATGTTCTCACTCGCTTGTGGGAGCTAAAAGTCGAAACAATTGATCTCACAGACACAGCGAGTAGAAGGATGGTGGCCAGAGGCTGGGAAGGGTGCTGGGGGGCTGCAGGGGATGGGCTTTTTTTGTCTCTCTTTTTGGTTTTTGAGATGGAGTCTTGCTGTTTCGCCCAGGCTGGAATGCAGTGGCGAGATACCGGCTCACTGCAACCTCTGCCTCCTGGGTTCAAGCAATTCTCCTGCCTCAGCCTTCTGAGTATCTGGGATTATAGGCACCCACCACCACACCTGACTAATTTTTATATTTTTAGCAGAGACAGGGTTTCACCATGTTGGCCAGGCTGATCTCGAACTCCTGACCTCAAGTGATCCACCTGCCTCGGCATTCCAAAGTGCTGGGAATACAGGCGTGAGCCACCGTGCCCAGCCTTGGTTTTGTTAATGGGTTTAAAAAAAAAAAATAGAATGAATAAGACCCACTATTTGATCACCCAACAAGGTGACTATTCTCAATAATAATTGCACAGTTTTAAATAATTCAAAGAGTGTGATTGGGTTGTAACACAAAGGATAAATGCTTGAGGGAATGGAAACCCCATTCTCCATGATGTGATTACTTCACGTTGCATGCCTGTGTCAAAATATCTCACATACCCCATAAATACACACACTTACTATGGACCGAACAAAAATTAAAACCTAAGACTGGGCACTGTGGCTTATACCCGTAACCCCAGCACTTTGGGAGGCCGAGGTGGGAGGATCATTTGAACTCAGGAGTTTGAGACCAGCCTGGCCAACATGGCGAAATCCCATCTCTAGCAAAACTACAATTAGCTGGGTGTGGTGGCGTGCACTTGTGGTCCAGCCACTCAGGAGGCTGACGTGGGAAAATCGCTGGAATCCAGGAAGTTGAGGCTGCAATGAGCCAAGATCGCGCCATTGCACACCAGCCTGGATGACAAAGTGAGATACTGTCTCAAATAAATAAATAAATAAATAAATAAATAAATAAAAAAAAATTAATTCTTAAAAAATTAATAATTAATAATAAAATAAAACAGCTTTACCCTCCACATACCTCCCATCTCCCTTCCCTGCTTTATATTCCTTCAAGACTCTGAGGGCTGGGTGCGATGGTTCCACGCCTATAATCCCAGCACTTTGGGAGGCCAAGGTGGGCAGGTCACCTGAGGTCAGGAGTTCAAGACCAACCAGAGGTCATCGGGCTGGCCAACATGGTGAAACCCCGTCTCTAGTAAAAATACAAAATTAGCCAGGTGTGGTCATGCACACCTGTAATCCCAGCTACTCAGGAGACAGGAGAATCGTTTGAACCTGGGAGGCAGAGGTTGCAGTGAGCTAAGACAGCACCACTGCACTCCAACCTGGGTGACAGAGCAAGACTCCATCTCAAAAAAAAAAAAAAAAAAGGCATTTACATCTTGTGACCCCACTATATAGACATGTTTAATTATTTGTTCCTTTTCTCCCCCAACAGAATGTGAGTTCCCTAGACCACAGGTTTTTTTTTTTTGTTTGTTTGTTTTCTGCCAGTTCTGTCCCCCACTGTTACCTTGGTCCCTGGTATACAGTAGGTGCTCAATAAATGTGGTTTGCACGGAAGAAGGAAGGCATGAGAAATAAAGGTAAAATGCTTAGCACAGGGCCTGGCACTGAGGGATGCTTATCAGTAGGAATGACAGTGACTTAGGTGACTCAGATAAAGGCTCAGCCCTTAGGAGCTTCCCGGGGCTGGGTGTGCAGCAGACAGGCATGCAGGACTGATTGCAACACTTGCCCTGTGCGATGTGCACAGGAAATTGCAGGTTGCAGGGCCGGAGACCCTGAAGCTTCTGAGAGATGAAGCTGAGCAAGGTCTTTTTATTTTTTTTATTTTTTAATTTTTATTATTATTATTTTTTTGAGACGGAGTCTCGCTCTGTCGCCCAGGCTGGAGTGCAGTGGCCGGATCTCAGCTCACTGCAAGCTCCGCCTCCTGGGTTCACGCCATTCTCCTGCCTCAGCCTCCCGAGTAGCTGGGACTACAGGCGCCCGCCACCTCACCTGGCTAGTTTTTTGTATTTTTTATTAGAGACGGGGTTTCACCGGGTTAGCCAGGATGGTCTCGATCTCCTGACCTCGTGATCCGCCCGTCTCGGCCTCCCAAAGTGCTGGGATTACAGGCTTGAGCCACCGCACCCGGCGTCTTTATTTTTTTTTTTTTTTTCTGAGACAGGGTCTCACTGTGTCATCCAGGTTGGAGTGCAGTGGCACAATCATGACTCACTGCAGCCTTGACCTCCCCAGGCTCAAACGATCCTCCCACCTCAGCCTCCTGAGTATCTGGAACTACTAGACGTGCCACCATACTGAGCTAATTTTTGTATTTTTTGTAGAGATTGGGTCTTGTTATGGTGCCCAGGCTGGCTTCCAACTCCTGGGCTCAAGCAATCAGCCAGCCTTGACCTCCCAAAGTGCTGGGATTACAGGTGTAAGCCACCACGTCCCCAGTCACAAGGCTTTCAAAGGCTGCACAGATGCCTGCACTGCAGGCTGGGGTTGGGAGGTAGCGGGTGGTCCCAAAAAGGGAAGCAGGGCCATGGGGAGAGCCCATGGGAAAACTGGGGGATCCGTGGGGC